AGGGAAACTGTTTTCAGGACTAATAAAAAAGATTATATATAAGGTACCAGTTTCACAGGCAAGAGAAATAGAAAAGACAGGTTAACAAACAAAATAGAAATGTGCAGCATACAACTCTCAAGATTAACAAAATTTATGAAAAAAAAGTCCTTACTTCATTGCCACAGGACACAGCTTGTACCTATAGTGGCCATAAGGAATTCCTTGGGGTATATGATGGAACAGATTCTAGAAGAAAGAGGTAGTAGTTAAGGAAAGTCTAAAAATACAGTCTTCATTGGCTGGATTTGACTCATCTACAAAGGAATCATGTAAATTAGGCTCAGACTACAGGGTGACAGGAGATTTTTCAGTCACCTGCACCACTGGTTTCAACCCAAAGATTGCAGTACAGCACAGAGACAACAATTTGAGCCTGAGATCTTGGAATGGTCACATCACTTTTTGCTTCCATTTGAGGGAGTCTGGAGGATAACACACCTGTAATCCCAAAGCTGCAGAACTGTATGTTTCAAAGAACACAGAACTGTATGTGAAAAGATTTGTGCATATAGATGCAGGAAATGGTGAGTAGAGAAAGGTTATTAAAAATGTGCTTGTGGCCGCGTTCCGGGAACCCCCAGACCCAGTCCTAGCACAGGTCCGGTGAGTGTGTGGGGGAGTTTCTGGCTACCCTGCACCAGCGGGACCAACTCCGGGTCCCAGGCCAGACTCAGCGTGGGTCAGACCCTATTCCACCCCCTTGGAACACCCCCACAACTCCTCAGCACATGCCCCACCCCGCCCAAACAGTAGGAATTTCTGCTGCGTTCTGGAAACACCCAGACCCAGTCCTAGTCAAGATACAGTGAGTGTATGGGAAAGCTGCCTCTACCCGTACTCCACCTTGTCCCTCACAGGCTCAGCTCAGGCCTGGCATACAGGCCTGGGGTGTAACCCTGCAGCTGCAATCCCTACAGAGAGGGTAGAGGATAAAACTACTCAGCTAGTCCAGGAGCAGAACAACTTGCCACAGGGGCATAACAGGCTCACCCTCAAGGGCAGCAGCAGGAAGGAGCTGAGCACAGCAGCCAGACCCAAGCCAGGCAGAGCTGGATAAATCCAGACTTTGTAGATCTACACCTGAACTTCAGTATGTACTAAGGTTATAACTACAACGAATATCTACAACAAAGGTCAGAAGACAGTGCTACACAAAATGATGAGAAGCAACAAAATCCAACCTCAGAACACAACAACACCTGTAAAAAGTGCAGAGGACACTAACACAGAACAAATTGGGAATCACACAGCCGAAAGCAATGAATCAACGGCTTCTGAAATAAAGAAAAAGCTGCAGAAAGGTATACAGGAACTCAGATTGGAAATAAAAAACAAATCCCTGAATTAATAACATCTGCAGTAAACAATCAAATGCAAAAAACATATGGAGGAAACCCAGTACCCACCTAGAACAAGTGTGGAGGACACTAGCTCGGCTCAAATGCATGAATTAATAGGGTCGATAATAAATAAGCAACAGCAGAAAGATACAGAGGAAATCAGAGCACAATTCTTTTCTGAAACAAAAAAAGAATTCTCACAACTCATAGCATCTGAAGTAAAGAAGCAACTACAGAAACATAGGGAGGAAACCCAATCTGAAGAAAAACACTGCAGTAAAGAAATTATAACAGCTTCTAAAGAAGACATTGAGAAAAAAAAAATAGAGGAGATTAGAAAAATGACAGATTCCATGAATGAGCAATTCAAAAAAGAAATAGAAGCAGAGTCAAAGAGATATAGAGGAAATGAAAACCTCAATCACAAGCTTGCAAAACCGTTTAAGTGAAAATGAAGACAGAGTTTCAGAATTTCAAGATTCTGGTGCAGCTAGTGAAAAAGTAAGAAGGGATCTCTTAAAAACAATGAGGATGCAGGAAAGAATAATCCATCATCTGCAAGATGATGCAAAGATGAACAATGTGAGACTAATAGGCATCAATGAGAAAGAAGGAGTAAATACAAATGTCATTAACAAAATATGGGCAGAAGTAATATCAGAAAATTTCCCAAATGTAAGGAAACAATCTGACATTCAGGTAGCTGAAGCATACAGAACACCTAGTAACATCAAGCCAATGAAACATACATTGAGACATATAATAGTCAAGATCTCAGAAATTCAGCAAAAGAATAATAAATTTAAAGGCGCTAGAGAAAAGAGGCAGACAACATACATAGGAAAAACCATCAGAATTATGGCCGACTTCTCTGCACAAAACATGCAGGCAATAAGACCATGGAGCAGAGTACTCCAGGTCCTCTATGAAAACAAATTCCAGTCCAGACTACTATACCCTGCAAAACTCTCTTTCAAGTTAGATGGAGAAGTGAAATACTTTTATGAGAAAGAACAGCTAAAGAATTTCGGGATGACAAAGCCAACACTGCACTGGGTACTGAAAGATGTTCTAGAGAGGGACCAAAATGATCAGAACTCCACAAATGAGATCAGAAGTAACCAACTAAATAGGGCAAGCAATTAAACACAAGAGAAGGAGTAAACGACAACAGGTAAATAAGATGACAAGCGTAAGTCAATACATCTCAATTCTAACCATCAATGTAAATGGACTCAATTCCCCAATTAAGAGAAATAGACTGGCACAGTGGATTAGGAAACAAAATCCAACACTATCCTGTATGCAAGAAACACATTTAACTCATAAAAACATTGATAGGCCAAAAGTCAAAGGATGAAACACAATA